GTTCTACATAATATCTTTCCAGCACCTTTTCTACATACAGACTCCTTTCAGTTTCCTTTGGGGAGGTTAGCGATCCAGTAATACTCAAAAGCAAGGGAGCTTGTAGAGACTTCAGTTTTAACCCTGACATGTTCAAGACACTAAGGGGCAATCAGGGCACAATTTTCCCTATTTTTATTATGCATATTTATATATCTGCACACCAAAATTGGAATTTTCTCATCAGTTCTACTGCTAATGATGAAAATATGTGGAGTGCAGAAAATGCTCCTTCTACAAAGCCAATGCAAGTCAGGGTCTCTTTCCCAGAGCGATAATCTTTTGTATCTTGGGAGGTAGAAGTTTGAGCTATGGTACAATATTGGAACAGTACTATTTGACATATTGACCTAGGCATCCTTCAAAATGGAACATATTTCTGCAGAGGTGTAACTGGGCAGTTCTGCACCTAGATGATGGTGAGGCATGGGATATAGTCCACAGCTGGACTACCAGGGGAAGTGGCACACCCTTAAGTCAGAACCTGGCATTGGCGCCCTGGTTACCACCCCCCAGACATCCTACTGTATATATCTGAAAACAAGTCAGGACCCCTCCACCTCCCACTATCCCCATTTAGATTTCTTTAATTATTCTATTCTATTCTTGGTAATGATAACTCAGTAATATCTTCCATTGACTGATTTTTTTTTTTTCTTTTTTTCCCCCTTAAAATATATGCTTTCAGATTTTTTTTTAATATCAAGGTTTGTCCCAATACAGAATTTTGTTATGATAACTTAAATTGTTTTTTGCCTTGGGGACCAAATTTCTTCTGATAAACTTTTCAACTGGGTGAAGTTACACAATGAGGGGACCTGGCTTCAGGTTCATAATAAAATCTTTAAATCCCATTCAGCTGTTACAGTAGTAATGGCCTAATTCTGCTTCCATTGAAGTCTTTGAGGTGTTTTAGATAAAGATTGTTTTCCATGTATGAAGTATGGCACAATTATGTGATCTGAATGGCAAAATCTCTGTTGATTTCAGCAGAAACAGGATGTGGTCTACTTTGTGCAGCTGCTGAAGTTTGTCAAAGTAAGGAGTCAGGTCCTGATTAAGAACAACCATGAAATATTTGCTTAACTTTAAGCATATGCTTAAGTGCTGTCATGAATAGAGATGATTTCCTGAATTGAGATTTTAATCCTGCAGTTTTTAAGCAGGAAAGCTGACTGGAACAAATGGGAATTTTGCTGAAGGAGGACTGAAATCTGCTATACATGATAGGTAATATTTTTCATATAAGAACTGGAACACTGATCCATTTGGTATCTTCCACCTGAATTGATTTTGAATACCATATTTAATGCACATTTTCCAGATTAACGTTAAATTAATGAGAGATGATGTAGGAGCAGCTGCATTAATCTGTGTGCTAGACCTTAGTGATTAATGTGGAACAAGCTGATCATCCTTGAGGTTGATTTGCAATTATGTGAGAGGAGCATTTCCTTGGTTAAGGCCTCACTGGATCATTGTGTTTGCAGTTTTGATCATATTCAATGTTTTTGCCAGATTTCCAAGTCCTAAATAAATGTCATATGGGAGGTTAAAAAAATTGCTCCCTATTAAAAATGGGAGGGTACAGGTAATGTGATTAATACATTACTTTAAACCAGTGTTTGCTTAAGCATCTCAGAAGTTGTTATACAAAATGTCAGAACACATTTCTCTGATTGATTTGTTTTACTATAAATTGACAAGCTCCCATGTTCAGTTTTATTTGCTTTACTGCTACTGTGCATTGTGTTATAGGATTTTACACCATCTATAAAAGGCTAGAAAAGAGCTATCTTTTTTGTTCTGTATAAGTAGTCTATTGGGACCACTAGATGACTGTAATAAAGCATTATAACACTAAGGATATCTATTTATTCAGAATTATGCAGTTCTTTTCCACAGTTTATAAGCCTCTAGTTATAAAGACTTTAAATAGCCATGAAATAATCCACAAACTCTAGGCTTTATGTACATTCAGTAGTAACTTAGTGACAGGAAATCTGTGGCAGTTGCTTGGCCAGTCATATCTATAATGTATTAAGGAAAAAAAAGTGTTTTATAAAACTGCTTGTAAAGGGTAAGTGGTAAAACTCTTGGAGACACTTTAGTCTGAAAGTGAATGAAGTACCTAAACTATTTGTTTATATTTAAGAAACGGTAGATCAAAGAGATACACTTGAGGGGGCGGGGAGGGGTGTCTTTCTTTAGCATGTAGGCTTCAGTGACAGTATCTATATGCATAAAGTCTTGTGAACATAAAGATGTAGTTGTTTAGCCATTAACACTGCTGCATGCTTAACTTTCCACCAGCCAAATAGCTCTGTACTTCATCTAGGAGTAGAAGAGGGTAAGGGTCCTGGACAGCTTCTTTATTAAGTTCCCTGTAATCAATTGTAACAGCCAGTGGTATCCGGTGGCTGCTACTTGCCTGAATAATGGCCAGGTGTAGCATATCCTTAATTAGCTTAGTGAACCTTGCCATAAATACATTGATATCTACCTTCTGCATGTGTATTTTTGCGATTAATGCGCGCAGACATAAAATTATAACAATGAAGAAACATGACCAAGGGTTCTGCTATTACAGGATCAGTTGCACAAATGGAGATGTTTCCATTAATCTAGTTTTGACATAGCTTTGTCACATTCCTGATTGTAATTGTTCTATGGAGGTATGACCTAGACAACAGCCAGAAAAGTAAAGCTGCTGCTTTTCCGTGTATGTCTGCATGTATATTTTGTAGGTATTGAACCATGGGTATGTTCTCCTTTGTCCTTTATAATTTCATAATTCAGCATCCATAGATGATAATTTATTTCTTAAAATACAGCTGACCTCCATGTTATAGATGAAATTCAGTTCTGAGAGTAGTGCATGGAACTTGTCTTGTTCTGGGGTAACATTTTTCTGACTATTTTGTGTCTCACTACAATCACATTATCTAAAGGCATACTTTTCTGAAGGTTTCTTGTCATTTGACAGAATTCACAAAGATAAGCTTTTACTCTCTTTATACCAGTTTTATATAGCAGCTGTACTGAAGCAGATTAGGTAAAGTGGCCTTCTTAAGGTCTCAGAGTCATTTTTAGAGCTGGGGTTATAACCCAGAATTCGTTTCTTCCAGAAACATGAAGAAATATTTAAGTGAATAGTGTGACACACGTTCTCCTAGACTATGAATTCAAGAATCACAACATTGCAAGCTTCTGTACAGATGCGTGCATATTCCAGTTATTATGATATAACCCATTATGATTTAGGATCTATGCCTACTGGTGCATTTTTTATTTTAGTGCATGTTTGCATGTTCTGCATCATTTTACCTGTTAAGAAAATTTACCTTCTCTGGGGTTTTTTTTTTTCAATTCTCTCCCTTAATTAAGTGCTATTTGTAAGTGATTCCTTTACAACAGTTCTTTGGAACAGACATGTTTTAAATGCACATGTCTTGAAGTTGTATTACTTTTCCTCCTTGACATTTTAAGATTTTCAGAATGAATAAATTGCTTATACAGAGTTGGTGGGGTAGGGGGTTGGTTTTTTTTTCCTTTTAAGATAAGAAGTTCATGAAATAAAGTGAGAGAAATAAAATCATACTATAAATGAATAAGTAATGTAATCCTCAGGAGAATACCCATGCTACCAGTAGTGTTCAAGAGTCATAATCTGCAATTTAACTTGTTTGTTCTCAGGCTATAGATAATGGATAAAAGTGGCTGGTTTCCTGCCAGTACATGGTTTATTTGCCAAATGTGATGTTTCAGACTTGTTCAACTTGATCCGTGTCACAGGCTCTTCTTATTAAGAGGCTGGTGTTGATAATATAAAGAGCTTTACATGCAGTTACTTTTAAATCAGTTACCTACAAAAATATTTTATGGTACAGGATTTGCTAAGCGCACAGAAGATTTGGCACATTATTTCAGACTCAGGTCCTGCCATATTTCTGTGGGCATGACTCCCTTTGAGAACACTGGGAGCTTCGTAGGCACTGAGAACTGAGTATGTTTTACAATGCCTATACGGAAATGGAGATATTCTGATACATTACACAAATAAGTTTTCCTCATAGTTGACCTTTCATATGTTGTTACTATATATTTGCTTTAAATATTATGAAAAAAATTTTACCTATCAATAAGAATACCTTCATGCTAGCAAACTGGTGATTAAGGGTGGGACGCTGGACCGCCCAGTTTAAACAGTAACACATTTTAGATAAACCACACCTCACAAGTAGTTTGTAAATTGTTCTATAGGGGTACATAATAGATACAGTCACAGAGAGCATGACCTGGAATTATACATAGGTACACAGATGTGGCTCCCGTGGCCAATCAGTGCTCTCTCCACTCAGTCTCCTGTGCAAATGTCTCTTCAGTCAACACTGTGTGAATACCACATTGAATATGGGTACACGGAGACAAGGCTTTTATAGCATGTTGGAGTACCCACTGGGGCAAGCACTATAGCTATTAACAGGCACCATCCAATATATGGTACCTCATCTAGATAGAATAAATGGAAAATGATGTCAAGATTGCATGTCATTGAGGGCAGTGTTGGATAAATAAGTTGAAGTCACCTTCCCTCTCCTTAATCCTAGAGACACTTTGCCTCTTCTTTTCCCTCTTTCCCGCTGTATTTAAACAGACCATTCTACCTACATCCTCATCTTCCCCAGTATTTCCTAAGTAGGATAGAGCTAAATACATCGGCTTTACATGACTTGGACATTGAAGAGTGATGATGGAGTTGAAATGGAAGATCTGCATCTCCACTTTATTGGAATAATGCAGCATTTTTAATACAATTATTAATATTAAACTAAGTGTTTAACCTGAGAGATGCAACATAAACGTGCACATTCAGGTGATTTAAAAGGGCTTATGGCCCAGTCCCCTACTTGAATGATAAGACAATATTGATGACTACTGTGATCTGTTTTTATTTTCAGATTGAAAATCTACAGGAACAACTTAGGGATAAAGACAAACAACTAACCAATCTAAAAGACAGAGTGAAATCATTGCAGACAGATTCCAGTAACACAGACACAGCGCTAGCAACATTAGAAGAAGCTCTGTCAGAGAAGGTAATGTTTAGCTTGTAACTCAATGTTATATGGTGCACCGCAGTGACATGGGTGAAGTGTGTCTAGAAAAGATGGTTCCTTAAACTTATCTAGTACCAAATGCAGAGAAGAAAGTTTGTGTAAGGTTACAGAATTGGCATGTAAAATAATTGGAGTCAACTTGGAGGTTTATGCCCCTAACTTGCTACTATTGGAACACACAAGATAAATAACCTGACCCAAGGAAATTGGTAGAAAAATTTCCATTGACTTTAGTGGCATCAGGATTCCATTTTGAGTTAACTTCTAAAACACAGGTTTTTGGGACAGCTCACATATTTGAGCTCAATGGGATGACCTGTGTATTTAAAGTTTAAGCACAAGTGTAATCTTTTGCAGTATTTATATTTTAGTAGTATTTACCTTATAATTATGCACGGAGAACACAACTATAGAAAAAGATTTATTATTTTGTAGTATTTGATCTTCTAATGGTATTCCCCATGTTAAATATACAAAATATAGCAAAACAGCATTCCAAATCAAACACGGTGGCATGATTTTTTGTTTCTTTCTATTTGCGTTCCCTTCATTGTTTCTTTTGATTATACTGTACTTAGTCTATCTAGACAGTTTTCTCAGAAGGTTTTAAATATTTACACAGGTAAAACTTCGCATGTACTCAGGGGCAGCAGCTTCCACTGCTAACCTTGGTTTGTTACTCCACACACGCTAACATATTTACTCTTTCTTATAAGCTGTTCCCAAGTTTTGCATTTATGAACTAACTGACAAAAAGATGATTAAAGACAAAGTTGTCTCTTGTACAGAGACAACTTTGCTTCAGGCCCCTGCCCCCACTTTCCTTTCTTCATCCCTCTGAGCCACTTCTGCCCCCCTGCCCCCACCTGCAACCTAGGGTCCCTGCCCCACTGTCTCCCATATGTCCCTCCAAACTTAAGCCTGCTCCCTCCCTCTCCCTCCTTATCTTTGCTCTGGCACCAGTGGGCTCCATCCCTGCTGCAGCCTGGGGCACAAAGCATGGCCTTAGCCCCACCCTGTAGCCGTCGTCATAAGACGTCGAGTGGGTAAGGTAACTAGTAGGGTGAAAGTGCTAGACTTTAGGAAAACTGATTTCAATGAACTCGGGCGATTAGTCAAGGATGCACTGCAGAGTAGGAGTTTTGAAGAGATGGGAGCCCAGGAAGGGTGGCTGTACCTTAAGGAAATGATCCTTCGGGCACAGAGGGAGACAATCCCGATGCGAGGAAAAAGAGGGAAAGGGGCCAGGAGGCTTCCTTGGCTGACCAGAGAAATCCAGGGCAGCCTGCGGACTAAAAGCGGAGCATATAAAAAGTGGAAACGGGGAGAGATTAGCAAAGAGGAGTATACCTCCTCTGCTTGCACTTGTAGGGAGGCAGTTAGACAGGCCAAAGCTACCATGGAGCTGAGGATGGCATCCCAAGTAAAGGATAACAAAAAATTGTTCTTTAGATATATAGGGAGTAAAAGGAAGGCCCAGGG